TTTTTTTTTTTTTTTTTTGAGACAGTCTCACTCTGTCACCCAGGCTGGAGTGCAGTGGCACGATCTTGGCTCACTGTGACCTCCACCTCCAGGTTCAAACGATTCTTCTGCCTCAACTTCCTGAGTAGCTGAGATTACAGGCGCATACCACCACCCATGGGTAATTTTTGTGTTTTCAGTAGAGATGGGGTTTCACCATGTTGGCCAGGCTGGTCTCAAACTCATTACCTCAAGTGATCCGGCTGCCTCAGCCTCCCAAAGTCCTGGGATTACAGGCGTGAACCACCGCGCCTGTCAAGAATTCTAATGTGTGCTTATTGAAGGAGCTCTGCCTGCCCTCTCTGCTGTGCATGTAGGAGGCAGTTTTTTTTCTGAGAGCAGTGGGGGCACCTGGAGGTGCAAGGAGGTGGGAGGATCAAGGAAACCTTGCTTAATGTCTCCCAATAAGATCCCACTGCAAACATTGACCTCTTTTCATAGCTTAAGGGACTTGGCACCACTGATCCGTGCAGACCCCTCAAACCCCCTTCCCGGCTGCTCTCCCTCCCGGGCTGCACTCCGCCACTCTGGGCTCAATTCTGATTTCCTAATAGACTCAGTCTGTTCTCATCCCAGGGCCTTTGGATTTGCGGTTCCCTGTGCTTGGAATGCTTTTCTCCCAACTCTTTTGTGACTGAGTCTCCCCTGATGCCAGGATTGGCTGAAATGTCACCTTCTCATCCAGGCTGTTCCTCCTCTACCTAAACACCACCCCCAACCCAGATAATTTTTATCCCATGATCTTTTTGTCATAGCATTTTATTGCTCCGAGAGCATGTTTGTTTCCTGGTTTATTGAAAGCAGATGAGGTATGCAATAGTTTGTCTTATTCACTGAGCTGCAAGCTCCATAAAGCAGAGATTGGTCTTGTCCTGTCTGTTCTTGTTCTTTCATCCAATTGTAGTAGGTTCTGTTAGAGCTCCGCCTGCATCTCTTTGCATATTGCTGTTGAAATATTTGCTCCTCTGTCTTCCAACTGCCAAGGTCCCTTTGCTGCAGGGCTTCCTGTAGCTGGATCTCACTCTGCCTTTCAGACAAGCCTAGAAGTGTTGGGAAATTAACCCCTTATGGATCGGTTCTGAACCAAGGACTGATGGGAGCTGGCAGATGAATCCTTCATCCCCCACCAGCCCTTTTCCTGGAATAACAGTACATTTCCTACACTGTCCTCTAGAGGTCCTCAGTGCACTGCCCCACCTCGGATTAAGGTTCACACTTAAAATAGTCCCAGCACTAGGCTCTTCATCTCAATCTGCTTCTGGTGGCCCATCTAAGACACCTGCTTGAAGAGAGCCTAGCCATAATTCAGTAAACATTTCCCCTTCCCTTCCCTTTCCTTCCCTTCTACCAGAGAATTCAGTTGGAGTGATGTCATGGGGTCCACATACCAAGCAATTAATAGAATTCATCTGGACCCATCACCTCCAGCCCTGCTCCAAAAATCCCCATGCTCATGGGTCAAAGCCCCTGGACACTTTTCCTGGAGGACTCATCAGAGACGCACCTGGCTAGGGCCTTAACTGACATCAAACAGCCCAATGGAACACCTACCGGCACAATCTACCAAATTACTGTCATAACAATGCCTGGGAAGCCAATTCTAATTGTCATTAGTGAACAAGCCATGGGATTTCTCAGTGACACCTGGGGACTCATTAAAAGTTGACACACAATTCCTATATACATTTCATTTGTGCAAATGAAGGAGTCCCTCAGGATCAGCCACAGAGCTGCAGGCAGACGAGGTTTGATCCATAGCTCGGGGCTAAGGTGAAGACAGAAACGCAGGCTCACTCCACTCTGGAGGAATGGTCCCCAGATAGCACCCCCCATAGCCTCAAGTCCAAACTTAGATGTTTAATTAGCAGCAAGAGACATAGGTAGGAATTAGAAGTGGCCATTTCGGCCGGGCTCGGTGGCTCACACCTGTAATCCCAATACGTTAGGAGGCCATGGTTGGTGGATCACCTAAGGTCAGGAGTTCGAGACCAGCCTGGCCAACATCGTGAAATCCCATCTCTACTAAAAATACAGAAATTAGCCTGGTGTGGTGGCAGGTGCCTGTTATCCCAGCTACTCAGGAGACTGAGATAGGATAATCACTTGAACCTGGGAGGTGGAGGCTGCAGTGAGCCAAGACTGCACCACTACATGCCAGCCGGGGCAAGAAAGAGCAGAACTCTTTTTTTTTTTTTTTTTTTAAAGTGGCCCTTTCTTCCCCCAAGACACAAGAGTCCCAGAGCTCCATACAGCTAAATGCTACAGAAAGCACCATGGCATCTTGGCCATCAGAACACTTGGTGCCAAGCGTGGCCCCTGTGAACTTTCCATGCCGCCAGAGTAGATGGAGGGGAGTTCTCCAGAGCTCTGAGAGGGGCCGAGGCTTCTATGTCTACTGCAATGCGAACTGCACTATGTCACATACGGTACTTCATGGATGTATCCCTTGCTCCTTCCACTAGACTGGAAGCCCTGAGAAGGTAGGACCACTCGGGACTCACTCATCATCGTGTCCCACACCACCAAGCCTCTAATAGGTGCTCAGTAAATACTTATGAGAAAACAAGCAAATGACTCTCTCATTCCAGTGCTATGGAGAGTCTGTGAGTTGCAAAATCCTTCTGAAATGTGAATGGCTATTCTCGAGTTTATTTGAAATTCATTTTCCAGGTGTGATTGATCTCATTTGAACTCACTGTTCTTCCTGTGTATATCATAGACAATATCACTCATGTGGATGAGTGTAATCTTGGGACTGTCAGGATTATGGGGGAAGAGCCTTTG